CTCCCAAAAATTTTTTTTTTTTTTTTTTTTTTTTGTCTTTTTGTCTTTTTTCCGTGTCCAGCAACGGATCACAACCCTCAGTGCCGCCCCCGCACCGGACCGGGGACCGGCAACGGGATCGCAAGCCTCGGCGTTGCTCCCGTGCCTCGCTCAGCCAGTGAGCGGGAGCCGGTCTGCACGTGGGATCCGAACCCTCGGACGGGAGCGCCGCCGCGCTTCCCAAGCAGCGCACTATCAAGTGCGCCACCGGGCCGGCCCCTTCCCAGAAATTCTGATTCAGTAGTTTTGTGTTAAAGCCCCTCTTTGGGGAATACTGATTGAAAATATAGTATTGATTCCCCAAATGTAATGATATTTTTACTACTCTTTATTTCAGATTATTTTACTAAGCTCATAACCATAGTCTCAATCATATAACACAATTGAGTTGCATCTCCATAAATTTGTCCTCAATCACACTTAAAAACAACATCATCTCTTTTTGTCTCCTTTCTGATTAGGTTTTAGGAAGACGGTCTGACCTCAAATTGTCTTTCAATTCCAGCCAATGACTCCTTAACTTGCTAACTTCACAACAGTCCTGCCCTAACCCTATGTGAACACTAACCCAACTAACAGATACATAAAGCTCTATGTTCTTAAACTTCTTGAGTTAGTATATTTCCAATTACCAAAATGATTTTTTTTTTTTTTGGAACATAGTATGATAGTTGTTCTAAATGCAAAAATATAAATCTGTTATTTTTTCTTTTGGTAGTTAATAGTATTGATTGACTGGAAATTTGTATTATAGAATGTCTTTTTTTCTGACTTTCTCCATTCTGGCTATTTGTGAGGAAAATGGCAAAAATAAGAAAGAATTGACCATTTATTCTCAGTCAATGTTAAAAAGCCCATCACTGATGTTTCTGCTTCAAATAACCTGTTCTTCTCTATTTCAAGCTCTTCCTAGGGAAAGTTCCGGTGTTGCATGTTGATAGTCCTGACAAGACTGGTGCTGTGGTTTGAATGTCCCCCAGAAGCTCATGTTGTAACTTAACCCCCAATATGGTGGTGGAAGGTGGAGCCTTTAAGAGGTGATTGAATCACGAAGACTGTGCCCTTGTGAATGGGGTGATCCATTCAGGAGTAATGGGTTGGTGGTTTTCATGAGTTGTTATGGGTGTGGCTGTGATGGCTTTATAAGGAGAGAGTGAGAAGGTTAGCTCTGTTGGTCATGCCATTTTCTCACCATGTGACACCCTGCATCGCTGTGAAGAGTCACCACCAGGAAGGCTCTCACCAGGTGTGCTCCCTGGACATTGGACTTCCCAACCTCCAAAACTGCAAGAAATAAATTCTATTTCTTTATAAATTACAGTTTCAGGTATTCTGTTATGAGTAACAGAAATGGACTAATATAGCTGGCTTCCTGGATGTGTGACTTGCTCTGGGTCCAACACTCAGAATGGCTTTGTGCTTGGTTAAATGCTCTGCTGTTGCTGTCTTGAAATTCTTACTAATTTTATCTTGTAACTTGTATTTTGGAAGTGAAGTCCAATAGTATAATGAAGCATGGTGTGAGCAGAAGAGATACACAGAAATTTATAATTTATTTCTACTTATTTTTGAAATGTGTCCACACTTTCTTGCTACCCCATTTGCATATATCATTCATGATACCCTATAAAATTAGAATTCCATTGGACCCACAATGTGTGGTAGTTCAGCAAGACTCCAGGCAATTGAAAGATAAGTATATTGGCCTACCACTAGGTAAGCAGGGGGTTACTGCCAGTCCCAGGAGGCCATATTTTCTGTTTGAACCAGAACTTGTTTAAAATGCAGAAAGAAGACAGTGGCACTCTAATACACGAATTAACAAGAGATCCTAGCATATCCTTTCTTGTTCCTATTACTGTCTTTTATTAGCCAACAGCTTTTGCTGAAAATAATGACATAGAAAGAAAAGGAAAGATAGGGAAACCCAAAGTTTCCTGTCTTTTCAGTTCTTCATTCCTCAGTAAGCTGAAAGTAGAGAGCATTGGTAAAATGCGTCCATATCAAGAAAGGAAATAAAAAGAGTCAAGTTAGCCTTGTGTACTGTTTCCATTGATGTGGCAAAAAATGAAATATATGCATGCATGAGCTATGAAATACAGTTGCATAATTTTCATGATTTCACATACAAGTTAAATGTGCTTATATTTGCATTAAAAATTGACATTGCACAATATAAAAAGGAACAGCAAAACTCATGTTAGTAATATAAAAATTTAACTTTTTTTCACTTAGAATGACATTATTAACAAAAACACTGTGAAAAGTCAAGAGAGAGACTGTGGAAGAAAGAAAAGTCATATTTTAATACTTTCAACAGCACTTTTTTCTTGCTTTTTGAAAAAGGTTCTAGTGTTTTCATTTTGCACTGGGATGCACAAATTATCTAGGTGGCCCTGACTACTGAAGTAAGTAGGATGGATGACCATCAATTCAGGCTACTACTTAGATCTAACAGCTGTTATACTGGCACCTTGTATTCATTCTATCTACTTGCCTGCTGTTCTGTAGTGTCTAGTGCTGCCAAAACCAAGTACTCTGTTTACTACCCACATGTAGCCAGTGATCTTGTGAAATATGCCTAGTCTAAATTGAAATGTGCTATCAATCTAAAATTCCTTAGAACAAAACAGGAATGTAAAATATCTCACATATAATTTTTACATTGACTACTTGTTGAAATAGTAATACTTTGGATATATTGGGTTAAATATGAAAATTATTAAAATTAAATTTACATGCTTATTCTTACTTTTTAATGTGACTACTAGAAAATTTAAGGCCATACTTGTAGTCCTCATAGTATTTCTATACACCTGCAATGTTTTTTAACATATAATTCAGCCCTTAACCAGGTGTTTCTTAAGGATCTTATATTTCTCACTTTCTAATAATGAGGACCCATCACCACCTATCTGACCCCCATGACTCCATGGAAAACAACAACAGCAAAATACCCATCTTAGAGTTTTCAATTATATTGTAAAATATATCAAAAATAAGTAGAAATAAATTATAAATTTTTGGTAAATAGTCTAAATTGATAGCACATTTCATTGGTAAATACTCTAAGGGAAAAAGCTATTATTAGTTACATTTGCAAGAAAATATGTCTATGACATGAACCTTTCCATACATCATACTCTCAGAACATAAAATGGAAGCAACAAGAAGAAAAAGATTATTTTCTATTTATAATTAGATTCTATAGCTAAAATATAAGGCTCAATATAGAAGAATCCAACAGGAGTTAATGACAAGCTTGCATAGAAGGTATAAGTTTAGGATAGTTTTAAAAATTAAAATGCTGTACTTCATTAGGACCAGTTTAGTTGCAAAGAAATGTCTTGTTGGTGGCAAGACACCAAAATTGAATGACGTCCAAAAAAAAACTTTGAATGAGTGTCCCAAATCAAACTAACATAAACTGTTCTATGTAAGAGAAGTAAAGGAAATAAGAGAAATCAACTTACTTTTAATTTCAACTGACTCAGGATCTACTTTAGGTGGTCCTATAGCATTTTTCAGCTTTTCATGTAGAACATGTTGAATAATTTCATTTACGTTTTCAGGATCCTCAGTAGAGCGAAATCTACAAATCAGCAGCATATGAGCCAGCACTCCGTGTTCCTCTTCACTGTGGATCAAAACGGAAGAAGAAAGGAAGGAAGAGAGGGAGGAAAGAATAAGCTTTATGGTAATATCACAATCGGTTTTTTTTTTTTTATCATTCGTTCAAATCACTTACACACACAAAATAAATCCAAACATGTTTCCTTCTATATTGCTATTAACTGTATTCAGAACTCTCAACCCAGCCTCCATGATGTAAGGTGGTATGCTGCTCATGGTCTCCCTCACCACCCAAGGGTTTAGTTAAGTGCATGGCTATTCATATAAAAAGACACTCACTTGGTCAACCATTCAAAATTACTGAACATAATGTATGGTAAATATGAAATCAACTGTGGTTTTGGTTTTTGTTTCAATTCCTGTGACTTAAATCCACCAATCTCTCTTAAGAAATCTTCAGGCTCTCCTAAAAGACTCATAATCCTATGAACACTAGAAAGCTTGACCAAATTATATGACTTCATGTGACTGTATCTTCAAGATGGAGCATTAATTAACCTTAATGCTATCTGTATGAATTACTGCCTTGGGATCATCTCACCAGCTACTTTACCCCCTCTTTTTCACAGTCAGTTCCCAGAGATTCTTACTCCTCACTATACACTGCCTCAACCCTGACTTTATTTAAACTACAAATGGGAATACAAATTAGAATCTTATTTTTGGAGGGCAGTTTTGTTTATCTGTTATAAATTTGAATAGCCATCCCCTCTGATACAGCATTTGCCACTTTTAAAAATTAAATCTTCAAATATGCCGTTTTGTGTGTAAGGATGTATGTATAGATATGTTCATTATAACCTTGTTTTTAAAACAGAAAAAGCAAATAATGACCCAAGTGCCCATCAATAGGGCATTGGCTAAATCAACACTGACACGTACTTACAGTGGAATACTACATAGCCAGCTGAAGAATAAAGTAGATCTATATGCAATCATCGGAAAGATTTTCAAAGTATGTTGTTAACAAGATGTTTTGTTTCTGGGAGTAGAATTAGTGGACAGAAGGCTTTCATTTTTCTTTTTATTTATTTATTTATTTATTTTATTATTATTTTTTTATTTTTATTTTTTTAAAAGATGACTGGTAAGGGTATCTTAACCCTTGACTTGGCATTGTCAGCACCATGCTCTCCCAAGTGAGCCATGGACCAGCCCATTTTCATTTTCTATTTTATATAATACTGTGTTATTTGCACTTTATATAATTTTGTATATCACTGCTTCAGCAGTCCTGTATCATCGATTATTTATCCTTTTTTCTTTCTCTTAAACTAGTCCTATACTTCCTGGCTGATAAAAACAAAAACAAACACAACCCTCTCTCTATCCCACTATTTAACTTATTTCTTCTTATTTATTTATTTATTTATTTTTAATCACAGCGAACCTTCTTGAAAGGAGCAATTACACTCTGCCTCACATTTTCTTCATTGTGGTCTGTTTCTCCCTTTCGTTTCTACCAAGTACTTTCTCTACACACTAATGGCTTCCCAGTTGACATATCCAGCTGATTCTTATTGGTATTTGTATTACTTGCTCTCTTGGAAGTATTTGTCAATACTGACCACTCCCCTCTTAAAACTTCTCTCATGATTTTTCTTTCTTCCTGTTCCTTCCTTGTCTAGTTCCTATTTTTATTTCATCCTATTAAATATTGTTATTTTTCAAGCTTTCTTCAGCATCCTTATTTCCTTTCATTACCTTTTTTTCTTCTGAGAAATTTACAAGCATGCTTTCCAATATTTTGAGTTGATGATAAACACATTTATATCTTCAGCTCAGTTCCCTGTCCCTCCACCAACTAAGATCCATGTTTTAGGCTCATATGCTCCCCTTATCTTAACTCAGCATCTCTAAAACTGACTTCATCTTTCCAATAAATGTGGACTTCTTACTACTGCAGTAACAGAAGAAAGAATAATAAGTAGCAGTAGCAAGATTAATGGGATGAAGAGGTGAACAAACTGGAAAGTGATTCAGAAAATAGTATTGGTAGGGCCGGCCCGGTGGTGCACTGCTATAGTGCGCCACTTGGGAAGCGTGGCAGCGCTCCCGCCGAGGGTTCGGATCCCACATACAGACCGGCCGCTCACTGGCTGAGCGAGGTATGGTAAATATGAAATCAACTGTGGTTTTGGTTTTTGTTTCAATTCCTGTGACTTAAATCCACCAATCTCTCTTAAGAAATCTTCAGGCTCTCCTAAAAGACTCATAATCCTATGAACACTAGAAAGCTTGACCAAATTATATGACTTCATGTGACTGTATCTTCAAGATGGAGCATTAATTAACCTTAATGCTATCTGTATGAATTACTGCCTTGGGATCATCTCACCAGCTACTTTACCCCCTCTTTTTCACAGTCAGTTCCCAGAGATTCTTACTCCTCACTATACACTGCCTCAACCCTGACTTTATTTAAACTACAAATGGGAATACAAATTAGAATCTTATTTTTGGAGGGCAGTTTTGTTTAAAAAAAAAGAAAAAAAAAAAAAAAAAAAGAAAATAGTATTGGTAGAACTTAGTTACTAATAAAGTATGAGGCACCCAGGAAAAGGAGAACTGTATGATAATTTCCAGGTTTCTCATTAGTGTGATTGGACTTTACTTGAGTTAAGGAATTTTCTGTGGAACTTCCATGTGAAAATGTGCATGGGCAGGCATGTAGTTACTGAAATCAGGAAAATAATTCAGACTGGATGTAGAAACTTGAATTTCAATGGCATATGAAGCCCTGTGGGTGGATGAGTTCTTCTTGACATAGTAAAAATTTAAGGATCAGAGAAGTAGATGCAGATCCAAGAAAGGATACTGTGTCAAACACCAGACAGTACAGAATTTTCAGAAGAAAGTGGTCAAAGTAATGCCTCAGAGATGTCAGCTAAGTAATAGACAGGGAAGAAGCTCTTAGAGTTTTATCATTGGAATAATATTGGAAGCGGTTCTTATGCTATTTTTTAAACACACAAATAATTACTATTAAGGGTATATTATTTAAATTCTTATCTAGTATTTTGCTTAAAATGTTATGTTCTGAACTTTTCTATTTACTAATATTTGATGAACAGATCTGAGATCTTCTTAGCTAAATATTTGAAGAATGAAGGGGTGGAATGGAAGAAAGCAATGAAAATTGATACGGAGGAGAACTGAGAGCTAAAGATGAACCTCATCCACTACACCATTTTACACAGGGCACTACTTGCTATTAAACCAAGGGATGTGTGTTAGGTCCTTATGTGGACTAGAGTTTCCCCAAAACAATTTTATAGCATAAGCACCAGTAACGTCTCTATTCCTAGCAATCATCTTGCAAATACTTACTTTTATATTTAGAGAATGAGTAAGGGACATTGCAACCCATAACTTACACAGAACAGGTGCTAAATAAATGTTTGTTGAATTGAATTACATCACATCATTAACACTTCAAAACATTCATTGCTGACCAGGTTAACAGCTTCAGCTTTAAATTAAATTCAGAAGTCAGCCTTTTAGATCTACATACCTGAACTTGATAACGTGAGACTTGACAAACTCTCCCCTTAATGGAGATTTATAAAATGCATTTTTCACCTGTTCAAAAAATATTCAAAATATGTCAGCAAGAATAATTGTCTGAAATCTCACAAGTTAATTCAAAGCTTTATGGAAAACTAAGAAACAAAACAAAAGAAAACAAAAAAAACATCGACCAACATTTTACAATATGCTGAACTTGAAGAATCTTGCTGAATCCTTTTTGGTAATCTAACTCAGTGATTTCACCTGAATTCCACCTTAGCAATGATAAGAGCTGGGGAAACATAGTGAGACCAGAAGTGACATCTGCTGTACTACATTCACAAAGAGACCAGAGAGAATAAACATGCTATTTCTCGAAAAGTAAGAGTAAGCATTTACACTCCAAGGTAAGAACTTTTACTGCAGGTAGACAAAGGAAATAAAATAATCCTCCCAAGTGATAGTTGGAACATAGAAATGGGTACATAACAGTGTCACCTGATTCCCAAACCTTGTTAAAACATTGCTAAATATCCTGGCATGATGTGCACTCAATTCAGTTCTTGAAATGCTCTTGGCAAGGCCCATGTGAACTGGGTTACTTATGATAGAAGAATGTATTTTGTGGAGATATTTCCTGCTACTGTAAATAAGAATTCTAGCCAACTTAATTTTTTAAATTAGAAGTTTAGATAAGGAAACACTTCAAGTGTGGATATTTACCAAACACAGTTACTGCAAGTTGGTGATTGATTAACAGAAACAATGAGCCTTCTTATTCTTTCCTATGTTTTATTGACATCTGAGTACTTTATACCCAAGGATAGTTCCTACAATTATGAGACAAGCACAGTACAGATAAATTCTCTAATCAGGATGACAGTATCCACTTGGAAATTTTTATTTAAGGGTTTATTTTTATCAACTAATTTTAAAATCATTATTAATTTTGAAAGTATTAATGAGTCCTATCTATATTCCCTTAGATTTAAATTTGTCTGGATCTTATAAAATTTATTTTGGTGAATGGCACAAAGAACAAGGGAAATAGTTGCATCTTTTCTTGACCAAAGTTCCATTCCCTTTCTTTTGTTTGATATAAGTATTTGGCCTTAGAAAAGAGCTTCTTCATATATTTCCCTGGTTTGGTGTTTGCAAGTACAAACGTAACCAGAATTTGACCTTCACCTCAGCAAGGTGACTAAATCCTCAGGTTTCTAGTCTACAGGTTTCTGGGAGGATCATTTCCATTCTGTTTCTATTTAGGATATTGAAACTGGAAGACAGTTTGGAAATTATCTCACCTAACTCCTTAATTTTTATATAAGGAAATTTGTCCAAAATGATAAAGTGATGTGCCAAGTGACACATCACTAACTGGTAGATGGAAGAGAACTAGGTGTCCCGACTCCTAGTTCAGTGCTCTTTCCATCATACTATATCACGAATTACCTCACAGCCTATCAGGAAAAGTCCAAATTATTCCCTTAGTAATCTGATAGCAATGAAAAGTCATCACTCAGGTCCGTGCTCTTTTGGGCCATACTGCTATTTTTCCCAGTTTCTTAAATATTTGATTCATCCCTCAGGATGAATGTTGATGCCTTAAGGACAGAGATGAGTATCTATGGATTTCCTGTAGATTTGTGTACCAAAATCTTGTTCAAGGTTAGATATTTTTAAAAACAAAAATACTATTCAGATATGTGTCCAAATAGTTTCAATCCTGGCAACTTTTTGCTCAGGGCCTCTTTTTCAGGAAGTCAAGGATACAGCAACCATATTTTGGGCTACCTTCACATTCTCAGAATTTCTGGACTCTGCTGGTCAAGAGTGTAGCACTAGCTAAGGAAGGGTGAGTAGGAGGGACATAAATAAATGGCTAAAGATCACTTGGTTCAGCCTTGCAAACACACTCTTCTATGTTCATGTCGTCAGTTTTGTTTTATATCCCTTAGATAGAGCTGCTTCTCATTTTGCAAAGATATTCAAGAATCAGTTGAATGGATGTTTTAGAAGCAAAGATACTAAAAAATATGGTAAAAAGTGACAACAACAAATGCCCTAAAGGTGGAAAAAAATATTGCTTACCATTGATTCAATTCTCTGGCTCATTTCTGTGAAATTTTTAGAAGCTTCTCTTCCAAACTCATCATATAGTTTGTCACTTGTGAATGACAGCGTGCTGTAATAATTGTAGGTCTTCCTTTGATCTACAAGGAAAGCGGCAAAAACCCATCATAGTTTTTATCAGATGTGTGTAAATCATCATTATTTCCCCATTTCATGGTTGGTAAAAAAACTGAGACAGAAACAACTGCCCCTACCCCAGATAATCATCTTCACATCCTGCCCCAGGCTTCATAGTTATCTCAGAATAAAACACAACAACACTCATCATCATATGATTTAGGGTGTAAAAGCTATAAGAAATGCTTGGTGTTGTTGGATTGTTGTACAAATATTGCACTGGAGCTGTGGGCTGATTACTCATGTGTTATCCATACCTGAATAAGCCACAAGAGATAGCAAGTCACGCCATCTGAGCACACAAACAGGGATGGATTCAGAAGCTTCCCAAGTGTGAATGCACCTTTATATTTCAAAAGTGGAGTTTTCTCTTAGTCAACAACACATTAATTCTGGCCACAAGGATACTAGTATGAGAACATTTATCTTGGCTAAAGAGGGAGATGAGGGTAGGAATTAAAATACTAGTGATTCAGTAAACAGAAGTTTAGGGAGCCAGAGTTGCTACCTGGCATAATCATACAGGGCACTATTTAGTTTCAGCTGGCTCCCTTGTCACTACATTTGTTTCCTTCCACCAGCCATAGGGGTTGGTTTGTCTGCTCCATAGACACGGTTTCTACTCTCTGCATCCAGTTTAAGCAGCCCATATTTTTGGCCTACTGTAGAGTTAATGCAGTACAGCTTTTCCTCTACCCTCTTATACATGAGGCAAGCACAAAGTCCTCAGAAGATTTATTTATTCAATGAATATTAATGCTGACTACTTTTCTATGAGTGACACTGTGCCAAGCTTTAGGAATACAATGTTAATCAAGTTATAGGAAAATGGAGTGTACCTCATCCAATTCAATCTCTCTCCTCTTTTCTCTTCCTTCCTAGTCTTTCCCTCTTCACTTTAGCCCCACAGGAAAAGGAAACTGACATTGAGCACCAGTGCCCCAGGCATATTCATATATCTCACTTAATTTACAGTAACTCCATGGGAAAGCAGTATTATCCACATTTAACACACTACAGTTTCAGAAATATAAATAACTTACCCAACCCCAACATAACATAGTCAGAAAACACAGAGTTAAGTTTCAAGCCTAGGCCTAACTCCCAAAGCAGAGACTTCTTTTACACACTGCTTCTTGGGGTGGGAAAAAAACAAAGCCCCTCATAAAAGCTGAAGAAGTCTTTTGTTAAATAAAATACCGTGGCCATCCAGAGGGTTTGGTGGGAGAGAGAAGGAAGTTGCTGTCATACTCTCAAAGCCTGGGAAGGGAGGTGATGTATAAAGAATGATGAATGGCAGGCTGGAGACACTGAAAGTCTAGGGTCTCTTGAGCATTAATGACTTAAGTGAGAGACTAGGAAGATTTTGCCCTTCCTCCATCCTTACTCACCTCCTTTTCCCTGAATGGTCAAGGTCCCTGGCAATATACAGGCAGGTCCCTGGCAATATACATAATTTCAAGTAAGGTTTTTAACTTATTGAAACATTGAGAAATAACTCACATCTATCGTTGTAAACTACTGTTCTATTATATTTGCATTTTTTAACATCTCATGGATGTCTCAGGTTAACTATAACTTTCTGTTTAGCTGCATTTATTGTTCTAATACACTGCTTCTAATGTGCAAATGAGCCTCCTGGGGATCTTGTTAAAATGCAGATTATGATATATTAGGTCTAAAGGTGGACCCAAGATTCTGCGTTTTTAACAAGCTCACAAGTGATGCTGATGCTGTTGGTACCTAATCACATGTTAAATGTGAAATGCTCCACAACTTGAAACTTTTTGAGTGTCAAGATACTCCAAGTGAAAAATTTCACACCTGACTTCATGTGACAGCTAGCAGACAAAACCCAGGTGAAAATGTATGATGGGCTTATTAAAGGACTAGAGCAGCATAAATTCATAACAGAACAAGAAATCATGTCAGTTTATAAAATCAAGGAGCAACTTCTCGGGCAAAAATTGTTGTGAATGAGGCAGATGATTCCAGAGGAAACATTTTTAAAAGCCATGCAACAGAATACTTCCTCATCCCTAGAGAACCCACTTCCTAGTCCCTCAGCTGCTTCTGATGTTTCTTCTCACCTGAAAAAACATAAAATACCGTGTACAGTAACCTTTTAATCAAAACACAGCATCATAGGTAGAGGCTGAAAGCCTGCCTGTTGTTTGTTGTTGCTGTTTTTAACAGATGATACAGGTATTCTGGGGCTGTTACTGTGCTGCTTAATTATCCTGAACACATTATTGTTTTCGCTATTTTAATGGTATGTCATATTTTCTACTGTTAAGTATGTATGTGTGAAGAAGTGTAAGAAGTGATCGCTTATCAGTAGCTTATAAATTAGTGACGAATGATAGTAATGACAAACAACCATAGATTGCCCATGTGGGTGGCTGAGATCGTGATACCTTTGTTTTCTGATAGTTCAACACATACAAACTTTGTTTCATGCACAAAGCTATTAAAAATATTGTATAAAGTTACCTCAGGCTGTGTGTATAAGGTATAAATGAAACATAAATGGATTTCTTGTTTAGAGTTGGGTCCCATCCCCAAGATATCCATTATGTATATGCAAATACTCCAAAATTCAAAAAAATCAAAAATCTAAAACACTTCTGGCCCCAAGCATTTCAGATAAGAGATACTAAACCTGTAGCAAGTTCTAGAGAGGAAGAGAACAGACCCTCTATACCCTGAGACCTGTTTTATTTACTTATTTTTTAATAGTGAGGTTGAATCATTTGAAATTACCATTAATATAGGTCAAAAATGGTCATGTGGTTCAACCAAATGAACAACTTAACATCTAATATTCAGTGTTTTACTTTGCTCTATAAATGGGTCACTAAGTATTTAGACATACTCCCAGCTGCCAGAATTATATGGTATGTGTAGTTATTAAAAAATATAGTTGAAAATGTTAACAAAAAGGTAAGAAAAATAAGGATGAACGTAAGTTTGTTGATAATTTTCTAACAGGTCTGTAATTCTATAACCTGGTTGCTCACAACAGATTCACCTTCTGAACTCCAAATCACAGAAGGGTGGAAATGCAACCCCAAAGGCCCTGGACACAAAGGACACAGAAATCTATGCTGTCCTGGGCTTTATGAAATGAGGGCCAAGTGATGTTTTTCCAAATCTAATCACCTTCATCTATATCTATCTATTTCTACAACAGATTGGTTTGGTTTGGTTCAGTTATTTTGGTATGCCAGCTTCTAAATGATCGTGGTGCTATATTCACTCAGTTTTTAGTTTACGTCCCAAAACAGAGGGCAGGTAACAAATACAAGACAGTAACACATATCACAACAATTGCTGTTTATTCAGGTGTACTGTGTGGGCAGTGGAAGTCATGTGTTCCATATTACTCAATTTATCATCCAAGCAAAAGGATCCAGGAAAAGGATACTGGAAAAATCTTTCCATGTTTTAATTGTATACATACAAGTAAGATTTACAAACCTAATAAAACTTTGTTTGGGAAGAGGCAAAGGAGAAGTAGTAAGAAATATTTTCTGTCACCAAAATGATCAGGCCCCTAGCTTTACTAAGAACTCCTTGTAAAGTCAGACAAGTCAAAATATGCCCCAAGAAAATATCATGGGTATGTTTCATGCACTTTTATCATTCAGAATTCAATAAACACTTATAAAGTACCTAATATGTGTCAGGGTTTTTGCTAAGTTCTGGAAAAAGTGAATGAAACATTGTCGCAGACTTTCCTGGGAAGGAATAATGATGCTTACAACATAGTGGGACTTAATATACCCATAACAGAACTGTAGAATTGTAAGGTTATTTCAGCAATTCTTTTTTACAAATGTATGCTCCTGAGAAATCTCTTTAATTAAAATGCAGATACCCCAAATTTAAAGACCTGTGTGTGGGCAAATTCTACCAAAAGAAAAAAATTTTGTTTAAAATAATTTCTTCTTAAACTACCTAGCAATGACCCACGTTGCTTTGTAAACTGAGACTGGACTTGCGTGTACAGTGGAGCAAGATAAACAGTTTGCGGATCACTCTTAAGAAAGCAACTTCTGCAAATTCCCAATTAAATTAGAATGAAGTGATTAGCTTCTTTGGTTATAGGACCATGAACATCAAAGCATAATCTAGTTGCAAAGGGAGATATTAAACCAACTGGTCATAGTTGAGTCAACTAATTAAAATGCAAGGCAGAGTAGAAGGAAACTTCAGAAGCATTATTATACTCTGGAAGAACAGCTCTGAAGTACCCTGGAGACCTTTCTAATAACATAGCAACTAGCAGTTCATCTAGAAGTGAGGTGCCTGATAACCGCTGAGTGAACCTCTTTATAATTAACCCTCTTAGCATATCCTCTCCTCTTTAATCACTTGCCATATACCTCAAGATTTAATTTTAAATAACAGAAATAGGCACTCATTCAACAACATGTCACTATGAGCATTTCCAACTTAGTAGTACAGAATAGAGCCAACTTCTCTATGATCCTTGATTGTGCAATTGATTTATTGGGACGTCAGGATTTCAATGAGTTCAAATTATTTTAAATCAAGGTGATCGCCCTTGGATTCTACCTGTCCTGTGGTCTTCCCCTATTTAAGACTTGATTATTGCTTATTAGTGAATATAAAAACTAGAATGCTATTCCCAGCAGGAAGCATCACTACATCAAAGACAGAAGAAAGAATCCTCCTTCGCTTGTGAGGATTAAATGAGAGACGAAGCAGATAAAGAGTTCTTTGTACTAGCTATGCAAATAAATCATAGTAATACATGAACAAGCCTGAGGCAAATCAAAATACTTCCTGGGGAAGTATTTGGGATAAATTACATGATGCCAGAGCAGCTCATACTTACTATATCTCACATAATGAACAGTGAGTCCAATGCCCACTGCCAGGACAATCAGAGATATAAAAGTGATGAGGCCTATAACCCAGGGCTCCAAATAAGTTCTTTTCCTGGCCCTCACCACAGCTGGCCTGAGGAAGAAAAGAAACAGATGGATTATATCACAGCACACACCACATCCACTTAGACAAAACAGATATTTCTGAGAAATAAAGGACATTCAGTTAGATGGTACTGTATTATCTTGGTTTAGAACACACGATGGTCCCAGGCAACTGAGGTCAATCCCAGCTCTGGCTGCCTGAACTTGTGCAAGTAATTTGACTTCTCTGGGCCTCGGTTCCCCTATGTATACAATGAAAATGACAATAGAATTGTTCACTCGTATTTCATAGGATTATTGTGAGGATTAAACAAAGTACTGTAAGGAGAGTGCCTCTAACAGTACCTGGCATGTAGAAAATGCTACGTCTGTGTTAACTGTTATTTGTTGAGTTGGCTGTGTGTATGGTACAGAGTCAGGAACTGTAGGATCTTCCAAAAGGTTTCAAGCCTGTTTCTAGCACTTGAGAGTCTTAACCATCTTGTGAAATGTGTTACAGCTTGAACCATACCAGGTTCCAGATAGAGTTCCTAATTCTATTCTTCTAATTTTCTGATTTATTTTCAAACCAAATTTTCAGAATACCTATGAGAAATAACAAGAGACCCCCTTCCTAGGAACCTAAGTTTTTGAGCTAATATTCACCTCTAGGCTTCAGTGATGCCACAGAAAATCCTCTCTGCATGAGATTCCCTTAACCTTTCCCATTTGTTTGCCTCCTAAAACACATGCTATTGGAAAATGGTTTGTTTGATTGGTAAAGCTGCTGTTCCCTTGGGTTACAATAGTTAGTAAGCAAACCCCAAAGCCAAAGAAAATGAAATAATGTCGGAGCCAGCTAAGGAGTTTGAATATAATACTGTTTTTTTAAGTTTCTTGAGGTATTTACTATTCCAGTAGAATCAGTGGCATGTACTTCTTTTCCCCAGAGCACTACCTGTCTGGTGCACAAGTGCTTGGGGGAAGTGTGATATTCTCCTGGAGGAGTACTGGCTGTTGAATCCGAATAGAGAAGATTCTAAGATGAGGCCTTTTCTTACCAGCTCCATGACTTGGACAAATCATTTAAACTCTGAGCTAAGTTTCTCCATCTATCAATAGGGAACAGGATACACATTCTGTCAAGCATTGTGGGACCCAAAATGAGATCATGAATGTGTAAACTTCTTGCAAATTGCAAAGCATGTCACAATAAATAATTTTTGCTTACAGAAATTAAGGGGACTCATTGCCTGGTGGATAGGACCTGGCAGTGATGATATTATCATATTGGTCCCTGCTACACCATTACTACATCCTGGCTCTGCCAGGACACTGAATAAGGAACATTGTCACAGAAGTCAATGGTATAATCATTGCTACATGACTCTGCCCCTGCTGAAGGCACTGGGATAGATTGGAAGGCTCTAGAGACTCTACGCATTCTCCTCCCTTGTTCCTGTGATTTTCCTATGGGGCTGTAGCCAGGGAAACTTCATCTTCCTTTCTCCAACCTTCTCAATCTCCAGTTCTCTCTTGAGTGGGATTCTAAACACCTGTTCCTAGAATGGCAATTACTGCCTCCTAAAAGGACTTCTTCATGAAGAGAGTTTTATTTATTTATCTTTTAATTTTTTAGGAAACCGTGCCTAAGAAGCACCAAAAACTGCCTCCTGTTCCTGCATCTCTGAATGTTTGCCATTCATCTGTTACAGAAGAAAGGAGATGTGTATAGCAGACGTAAGCAAAACTTTGGGGAAAATAGGGGGAGGGAAGGGCTTCTCAACTAATGTCAAAACATTCCAGATGATGAAGAATATAAATTTGTACATGTAGAAAATTTTATAAAAGCATCAGAAGTATATGATTGCTATGTAGAATTGTAAAATATAAGACAAGTTCTATTTGTTTTACAATAATTTTTAACTGACGCTAAAGTAAACAATGCAGTCATTATGTTGATACAGTAGATCTACATTTATTAACATGAAAAAGGTCAATAATACATTTTTAGGAAAAAAGTTACAGAATAATATGCTTTAAATGTTTCAGTTCTTATAAATAATAGAACTATATATGGGTGTGTATTGCAAAATATATAGCAGGAGACACCCAAAATTATTACCAGTAAGAAGTAGAACAAAAAATGAGAAGCTTTCATCTTAATTTACGTACTTTTTGTTTTATGGTAGACTTTTTTAACAACAAACATGGCTTTTGAATTAAACAAAGAGGAGAGAGAAATATTTTAAAGAAGAAAAAATTACTGAGGAAGATTATATATGTCTTCATGACTTCACATGACTACTGTGTCCAAGGTTCCTCTGTGCCCTCCTTTTCTGACCCCCACCTGCCACGACTACTTTAGTAACATGCTGTCTTTAATGGCTAAGAAAGAGACAAGAGGAATAACATTGAAAAAAGAGAAAAGAAAATCCAGTCAAAAACACTTTGAATAAACAATTATGAGAGTATATTTGTGAGCCCTGCCACCAATGTATCTGTTATACAGTCTTATACCAGCAGATTCAATTCTCTCTTATTTTCTTCATATGAAAAACATGGATAATAATTCCAGACTCCTCCTAATCTGATAAGCTATGTAGAGATAAAGATGATAAAGTATATTAGTACTTTGAGCTCCCAAGTGGAAAAATCATTGTACAAATATCAAGGATAATTATTACTATCATCATTATTTTAATTCATAATAATGGTAATGACCACATTACTAAGATGTTTGTCATTTGAAACATTATCTCTTCCTCTCCCACTCCGTATGGCACTGCTTCCCAAACTGATTCACCTAGGTCTTTTTTTTGAGGTGTAATTGACCCTGTTTCTTAATTACTTTTTTTTTTAACCAGCAAGTGATTCAGTACTGAATTTCTGCAAATTAGATGTAGTAGGAAGTGTGCTCAAAAAAATTAGTCAAATGAAGAAATAAATCCATTTTACATATCAACAGACCTTTGTGTAATTAACCTTCTGCTGCTCATAAACTCTTGTCTGATCATTATTTCTACCCTTTGAAACTTATCTAAACTTCTTCATGTAAAATCACCTTCAGACTGGTTGAATTCTCATAGCTTCATGCAATCAAATTCCTTTCTTTCTATGATATTTTTTCGATCCAGGGACATGTGTAATTAGCAACAAGTCAGGTGAATATAGTAGTTAAAATGTGGGTATATTTTTATGAGCTCCAGATTGCCAGAAGATAAGTAATATGTCCAGAATTGCATCATTGTTATCACTCTATAGTGTGTCATTTTTTGAATGGTGATGCTAAAAAAGAAAAGCAGCAACAACGACAAAATGGCAAGGGGAAAAAAGGCACCAGTGCAAATAAACCTCATGGTAATCACTGGGAAATGATGTCAAGGCTCCCAGTGCTTCAAAGGAAAATTTACTGGAACAAGCCCCTACACATCACCACCACTATGTACTGGTCACTAGTGGGTCTCAAACTCTGCTCATTCTTCCCAATGGTAAGCAGCACTAACATTCTCAGTTCCCATGTTTCACCAGCTCAGTCCGGCTGAGCTATTTCAAATCAACATGTTCACAATATCTGTAAAGTTGGTGGTTCCAAAGCATTATTATCAGCTACTTAAGCCAGAATTCAGCAAACTTTTCCATAAACATCCAGATAATAACTATTTTAGGCTTTCTAGGCTACAGGTTCTCTGTCACAACTACTCATCTCTGCCACTGTAGCACAAAAGAAGCCATAGATATAAACAAATGAGCATGGCTGAGTTCCAATGAAACTTTATTTGTATATGCTGAAATTTAAATTTCTTTTAATTTTCACCTGTCGTGAAATATTTTTCTTCTCTTAATCTGTTTTCAATCATTTCAAAATATGAAAATCATTCTTAGCTCGAGCACCATACAAAAACAGGTAGTCGGCCAGATTTGGTCCTTGGGTCATAAGGTTAAACAGAAGCCTACAAGTCAATTCTAACTGTGCTGGGAAGCTATACTGATCTTTTTGTTTTCTGGTCTCTCTCTCATGGTAAATCTAATGTGGTCTGTCTCCAATCCCATTGCCACTGAACTTGTTCTAGCAGTTCTCACTACAACTTGTCCCATAGCTTGATAACAGGTTTATCTTCTGTCTCCCCAGTCTCTGAATCATACAGTAAGCTGATTTTCTAGAAGTGATATAAATAATGGCTTAGACTACTTAAAACCCAAGTATGCCTCCCCTAGCCTAGCATTTGCCTTCCCCAGGAGCTCTTCACCTTCACTCCTGCTGTCTCCAATATAGAGTAACTTAGAGTCTACCCTTTGCTTGCATCATCAAAGTCTGTTTGAGGCTGGCTGGTTAGCTCAGTTGATTAGAGCATGGTGCTGATAACACCAACGTCCAGGGTTTGATCCCTGTACTATCCAGTCGCAAAAAATTCTTTTTAAAATAAAAATTTTTAAATAAATAGATAAATAAAAGTCTGTGCATTATTTAAGAGTCAGTTCAAAAATCCCCTCTACTCCAGTCAGATCTATTTACCCCTTAATATCACATTGAACATGCATTTTGAGCTCCTTTGGGATAGGGTCTGATTCTTATTTCTCTCTGATTCCCTGACCACATGCTCAAGAAATGTTTGCAGAAGGAATTGAATTAAACTTGATTAAACCAAATTGAACTTATCATTTGTTAATACCATAATATGGCTTCCAATCTCTCTCAATGTACTTGGGGTCTGCCTTAGTTCTAAGAAAGAACTTGGAATATTACACATAAGGAAAGACGGGTCGGACATTGTGAAGAATGACTGATATTTAATTAAAGGCTGATTTCAATGACAATTCATGTAATGATCAAGCTTTCTGGTTAGCATTTCTATTGAAAATGCATTTAAAAGACATGACTTCCGAACTGTGTATTCTGTCTATTTACTGTAAAAGTGTTACTAAAGTAAAAAATTGACAAATGCAAATAAGGAGAAATTAATTTCAGGAGACATTATTTGGGGTCATTGAATATCTGTACATTACAATATCAAAACAAAAGCATAAAGAAAGACATCACAATGAAGT